GTGACGGATAGTTATTTGGTTACTGACAGACTGGAAGATTGACATACAGGTCGATATACAGACAGACATACAGAGATGTGACGGATAGTTATTTGGTTACTGACAGACTGGAAGATTGACATACAGGTCGATATACAGACAGACACACAGAGATGTGACGGATAGTTATTTGGTTACTGACAAACAGAACTAGATAGATCGATTCACATATAGACATACAAAAAAAAAACATACAGACAAATATAGGACAGGATATGATGGATAATTATTTGTTACCTGACTAACAGAACTAGACCGACTAATTGACAGACAGATGGACGAACGGACAGAAAGGCAAACATGACAGATAGACAGACAGATGGACGAACGGGCAAAAAAAGAGAGGTAAATAGACAGACAGATAGGACCGACTGACAAACAGACAGACAAATAAATAGACAGACAAACAGACAGACCGACCGACCGACCGACAGACAGACAGACAGACAGACAGACAGACAGACAGACAGACAGACGGACGGACAGACAGACAGACAGACGGATAGATAGATAGATAGAATGCACACATGGATGAATGGATCAATGGATGGATGGATGTGTTTGTAGACAAATGTATTGACTAATGTAACAAACAGTAGATTCTCGTTACTCTAAAATGGAGTTCATGCTGGAAGGAAAATATTTGCGTACAAACCAGGGAGTAAAAACAATAATAGATGCCTGCATTGCCAAAGGTTTGTTCCTGTTGGCCTAGTGTTTTTCTGAAGCGAGTTCGTGTTAAATTAAGCCGGTTTCATTGTGTATGTTTTCAAGACCATGACTAATTCATTAATTGCTCCCACTCAGATGGATGAGACAGGATTCTCCGTGCCTGGGGCGTCTCCGAACTCCAGCCTTCAGTCTAGTACTCTGCCATCGACATCACGGCCTGTGAGACTGACTGCTCTAGGCTGGGAGCAGGTTCCGTTAACCGACAGAGCCAACCCTCAGAAATCCAATTCTCTAGGCTCCTTTCATCATTGCACTACCGGCGCTACAATGTGGCCTTTTAGCAGATTTCAAGAGACGCTCGTGGCCCATTCTGAGCTGGACCGCTTTCCCCAAATGCAGATGCCAACAACGGAGTCTAAAAACAGCAGCGTTCGACACAAAACGAAAAAAACGGGTGTGAATATTTCAGTGCCAAACGTGTCCACGGAAGAGAACTTTTCCCAGATGGACACGTTATGTTCTGAAGCGAACAGGAGCAGTCAGATGTTTGACAGTAGTGTCGATATTTTAGACGGGAACAGCGAGTCGACAACACCCCTCACTAATGGACAGTCTAGTAAAGATCTCATTGAAAATGGCGCTGAACAAAGTCCAGCCAAGAAAACATCTTGCGTCCAGCGGAGTGTAGGCATCCAAACGGATGCGGTGTATGATCAAGAAAAGGATCCAGATACGGACACTAGGGATCTACTGTTGAACCATGGTGCAAAGACAATCATAAAAACAGCAGATGCTGTAATTAAAATATGTGATGGTTCCCTGAGCATAAAAGGCAGATTCAAAGAGATAGTAGTACAGATGAATGAGAAGAAAGTGCCCAGAAATATCGTTGTGGATGTTGCAACCAATACAGACACATACCATACACAACACGAGTCTGCTCTGCCACAGCCTGCCGCCTGTTCTGTCCAGACAGATAATTACGTCGATGTCGGAGTTACAACTTCGTTGACGGAATCCTGTGTTGCAAATGAGACTCCTGATGTCCACATAGAAGACACACCAAGTGTACAGTCAGAGATGCGCAGTCTAAAGTACAAGCTCCTAAATTCAGATGATGATGATGAATCCGTGAAAGAATTCAATAAGAATGGGTTGACAGCTGCCACACACTGTATCAGTATGTTTCTGCCTCAAGTTGGGGACAACGTACCTGGCTACCACCCAGCAGTAGTCACTGTATCTGGTAAAGCAGCAGATGAATTAGCTGTCAGTGGCGTTAAGGATAACGCAGTGGGCATTCCCGGAGAAGACATTGACTGTGTTGACAACACGCTAGGTACTGGATGTGACCATGGTGGTGTGTTTGTCCCTGACACCATGTGCACCGGTAATCAAGGGTTGTCGAAAAACGGAGGAGAGCGTGATAATCCATTTGTGGATGTGGGCAGCCGAGATAGCGACGTCCCGTCTGATAATATTAGCCGAGCGATTTCATGTTCCCCTTGTTGCAGTAAAGAATCTCCAGAGTTTGTGTCGTCTTGTGTTCGACATGTGTGTAATGTCGACTCTAGTCAAGAACAACTCCTGGGAACTACGAACCAGCAGGTAAATGAACATGACAGCGAAGCTAATGCTGATAGAATGTGTCCTGGATGTTCTGAACATAACTGTGATGGGACCACATCACAGCTGGTCAGGACACACCAGACGCACCCAGCAGTATCTGGAGAAGGTTCACCTGCAGATCAGGGAAGTGTTGCTATTGGAGACAGGAACAGAGCTGAAGGTGAAATTCACAGTGAAGGTCTCGATTTGGACGACTGTGAGATGTCGGCAGCTGCAGACAGTAGTACGATTGTAGACGGTTGTAGTCCAGATAGTCATCCTGCAGGTGATATTAAACATAATTGTCGCACCACGCTTCTCCTACTTCTCTCTCCTCCACTTCTCCTTCTCTCCTTCCTCTTCTTTCCCCTAATATACTTAATCCCATTGCCTTTTCTTATCCTTCTCCTCCCCATTTTCCCCTTCTCGTCCTCTCCCCATCGTCGTTGTCGTTCTTTTCCTTATCTGCTTTCTCCCCCTCGTCCTCTTTTTCTTCCACTTTCTAATATTTCTGCCCATTGTTTCTTCTTCTACTCCCAGGGTTTCGTTGTTCGCCTCCTTTTTAGTCTATTCCTTTTTCTTCTGGTTCTCCTCATCGTTTCCTCTACTTCTTTTTCTTGTCGTAGTCGTCCTCTCTTCATCTCCGTCTTCACAATTGAATGCATGGTCATTCCTCTCCCACACTGTTACACCATCCATATGTAATGATATCTGGTATCATAAGTAGGTATATTTGTGTTCATTGCATTATTGAACGATCCAAGTGACGAATGTGAATCTTTAGCAATGACCAGACTGCAAGAATAACATTTTAAAAAGGTTTATGGCCAGACAAAAGCACAATGCAGGAAGCCAAAGTAGAATAAGAAACCAACACAGAACTGGTTGTCGTGAGCCGTTACACGCTGCGGGATTTGCTAATTAGGGGATCCGAGCACTTATTGACTGAATGGTTCGATGTGCAGTGAGGTTAATCTATCAAATAACTAACTAACGAACATTATTCCTGTGTGATCATGCCAGGTCTAAAGTGTAAGTATATTTGTTTATTGAATCATTCCTGTGTGATCATGCCGGGACTAAAGTGTAAGTATATTTGTTTATTGAATCATTCCTGTGTGATCATGCCGGGACTAAAGTGTAAGTTTATTTATTTATTGAATCATTCCTGTGTGATCATGCCGGGACTAAAGTGTAAGTATATTTATTTATTGAATCATTCCTGTGTGATCATGCCAGGACTAAAGTGTAAGTATATTTATTTATTGAATCATTCCTGTGTGATCATGCCAGGTCTAAAGTGTAAGTATATTTATTTATTGAATCATTCCTGTGTGATCATGCCAGGACTAAAGTGTAAGTATATTTATTTATTGAATCATTCCTGTGTGATCATGCCAGGTCTAAAGTGTAAGTATATTTATTTATTGAATCATTCCTGTGTATGTCTGTCTGTGTGTATTACAGGATTTATGTGTATTAAGAAAATAGGTGCTATCATCATCATGTGAGATAGTATTTTAATATCACACATTTGATGTTCACTGTCTGGCTAGAAGTGGAGACGCTGACTAAACAGATAATAGCGCTCAAGGGGAACAAATTAAATGGCTTCTCTCAGTTTTAATGTAATTTTTTTGTTAAGATTGAACTCTCAACCAAAGATTTGTTATCCGCATTTGTTAAACGTTGTTTGTTAACATCATATAGAGCTTCTTGAAGTCGCTATGAGATTAGAAGTTGCACACTCTATCACAATAACATCCGTCCCCACGTGGGACACAATGTTTCATTATTTTTAAGCCCTACCCTGGCTGTTGCAGGGGAGCTCTAATATAACTCAACCTATAGGTTGAACGGTATTGAAAGAATGTCAGATGACAGAGAAGTAAAAACTGTATACACAAGAGAGATGAATAGTCCTAGACCAGGAGGTAGACCAAGAAGAAAATAGAGAGATAATGTACAGACAGACCTGCAAACAGAAAAAAAAAAAGAAGGCGAATTCTGCAGCAATGAACCGTAAGGGCTCAGATTGCTGCTGAAGAAGAAGAAAAAGGCGAAGAAGAAGAAGAAGAAGAAGAAGAGAAGAAAAAGAAGAAGAAGAAGAAGAAGAAGAAGAAGAAGAAGAAGAAGAAAAAAATAAGAAGATGTGGTTGAACAGGGTTTTTGGGGACCTGTCCCCGGGTGATCCTCATCCGAATGTAAGCACTTTGTGTCTCTGTGTGATGTCCTGTTGGGGTAACACGTAAATCAACTCTGGCATACAAACTCGGCTTGATCGTCATCATGCAATTAGCACTGTCGCAGAACCAAGCAGCTTGGCTTGCTTTGCAAGGATCAAAATTGTCACGTTGTTGCGCCAGCGTGCCCTTAGGGAAAGCTTTAGGTTGTAATTATGACTAGGTTATGTACGCCAAAAAAAAAAAAAAAATGATCTAGCATTGCTCACCACCCAAGTAGCTCTGAAAAAAAAAAACTCTTGCTGTGGTGATGCGATCACAGGAGACGAGATACAAATACTGTCCCGACCAGCGACTGAATCGTCTACCAGAGAGCCACTGATCGACGCGGTCGCCGATAATGAAGCAACGCAAGCCTGGACTTTCAAGATCTAGTGGCCTTTCAGTTTTATTTTAAGCAATATACTAACCATTGTATTCCCAACGCCTTGTGTGTAGAGAGTGGCACCGCGGGTCAGTGTGTATGCACTGACGCAGTTGTTGCTGACATGAAGATGGCGTCGCCCGAAGACGGCAGTGGTAGCAGCGGTGGCAGCCTGGTGGACGAGTGCGGGCTGGTGGACGTCTACAAGCTGAAGCAGCAGGTCAACCATCAAACTGGCAAGCTGAACAAACTCTTCGATAAGTACAGGTTGTTCAACCATGTCTTGTTTTGGGTGTACCGATCAGGGGCGTCGCAACTTTTTGGCCTCAGTACCTTCCTAAAAAAAAATTGAGAGAACTAAAGGTTCTCTAACAATATGCAGCATATAGACCTGTTTTAAACTATCTTATTCATACAGTTTACATTATTTTTTATTCAATAATACATTTATGTGCCACTCAGCACAGTATTTTTGTTAGTATTGTTACGCAAATTTACAAGGCGTAGGACCCTCGGGGCCTGCCTCGAAAAAATAGGTAATGGCTGTTTTCACTGTACCGATGCCCCTGGTGCCGATTTTACCATCGCGTTGTGGCCACTGTCCCCTGTGTCCTCGGCGTTGTCCCCACTGTCCCCTGTGTCCTCGGTGTTGTCCCCACTGTCACTTGTGTCCTCGGTGTTGTCCCCACTGTCCACTGTGTCCTCGGTGTTGTCCCCACTGTCCCCGGTGTCCTCGGTGTTGTCCCCACTGTCACTTGTGTCCTCGGTGTTGTCCCCACTGTCCACTGTGTCCTCGGTGTTGTCCCCACTGTCACTTTTGTCCTAGGCGTTGTCCCCACTGTCACTTGTGTCCTGGGCGTTGTCGCCACTGTCACTTGTGTCCTCGGTGTTGTTCCCACTGTCACTTGTGTCCTGGGTGTTGTCCCCACTGTCACCTGTGTCCTCGGTGTTGTCGCCACTGTCACTTGTGTTCTGGGTGTTGTCCCCACTGTCACTTGTGTCCTCGGTGTTGTCCCCACTGTCACTTGTGTCCTGGGTGTTGTCCCCACTGTCACTTGTGTCCTGGGCGTTGTCCCCACTGTCACCTGTGTCCTCGGCGTTGTCCCCACTGTCACTTGTGTCCTCGGTGTTGACCCACTGTCACCTGTGTCCTGGGTGTTGTCCCCACTGTCACTTGTGTCCTGGGTGTTGTCCCCACTGTCACCTGTTTCCTTGGTGTTGTCCCCACTGTCACTTGTGTCATCGGTATTGTCCCCACTGTCACCTGTGTTCTCGGTGTTGTCCCCACTATCACTTGTGTCCTGGGTGTTGTCCCCACTGTCACTTGTGTCCTCGGTGTTGTCCCCACTGTCACTTGTGTCCTGGGTGTTGTCCCCACTGTCATTTGTGTCCTGGGTGTTGTCCCCACTGTCACTTGTGTCCTGGGTGTTGTCCCCACTGTCACTTGTGTCCTGGGTGTTGTCCCCACTGACACTTGTGTCCTGGGCGTTGTCGCCACTGTCACTTGTGTCCTGGGTGTTGTCCCCACTGTCACTTGTGTCCTGGGTGTTGTCGCCACTGTCACTTGTGTCCTCGGTGTTGTCATTTTTATTAAATGTATAATTGCATAATTGGTGCTAGTGTTGTTGTTACCCACCATCGACATAACGAACAAACTAACGAATAGACGAATTCCTTTCTCCAAAGCAGTTAGTTATATTTTATCAATAAAGATTATTATATTCATATGAAAATATGCATAATTTTAAACATCACGAAAAACACACACAAATGCATGGATGGCAAAATGTTTGTTCCCCACTGTTCCCCACTTGTGTCCTGGAGTTGTTGTCCCACTGTCTACTTTTGTGTCCCCCTGGCGGTTTTGTCCCCACTGTCCCACCTTTTGTTGGTTCCTGGTTGTTTTTGTCCCACTGTCATTGTGTCCTGGGTGGTTTGTCGCCACTGTCCCACTTTGTGGGTCCCCGGCTGGGTTTTTGTTCGCCACTGTTGAACCACAACTTGTGTCCCCCTGGGTGTGTCGCCACTTTGTCCACTTGTGTCCCCCTGGGTCGTTGTCCGCCACTGTCATTTTGTGGGTACTCGGTGGTTTTGGTCCATTTTTTTATTAAATGTAATAATTGCTTAATTTGGTGCTAGTGTTGTTTTGTTGCCATCCACATAACGAACATAAAACATAACGAAGAAAAAACCAAACGAATAGACGAATTTCTTTTCTCCAAAAGCCAGTTAGTTTTATTTTTTTACCTCCCAATAAATTATTATATATTCATAATGAAATATTGCATATTTTGAACATCACCACAAAAACACACACAAATGCGCAATGGAATGGGATGGCAAAATGCATTCGCACAAACACAATTTCCGCACCGCAACGCGCGCATACACATTTTTACGCCCCAACCCCCCACTCAATTACTTAGGACAAAACATTACATACACACACAACACGCGCGCGCGCGCGCATGCATGCCCGCACGCACGCGCGCGGCCCCGCACGCACAACCCCACCACATACACACATAACCACACCTAACACAACATAACTACACATAACACAACCATCCCCCCAGATAACATCACACACATTCACACACAACCACACACACCCAACACACACAACACATACAACACACACCCCAACAACACACCACACAACCCCAAACACACACAACACACACCACACCACACCCACCACACACCACACACCACCACAACAACCACACACACACAACAACACACCACAACCACAACCAACCCACAACCCCCACAAAAACCCACACCACCCACCACACCAAACACACCCCCACCCCCCCCCCACCACACCCCCCACCCAAACAGCACAACCACACACAACAACCACACACAACAACACAAACAAACAACACAACCACAAACAATCAAACACAATTACACCACACAACAAAATAACACACAACACAACACACACAACAAAACACACACAACAACACACAACAACACACACACAAAAAACAACACACAACAAACACCAACACAACAACACACACCAAAACACAAAACAACCAACAACACACCAAAAACACACACCAAAAAAAACACACAACACAAACACACAACAAACCACAAACACACACTACACAACTACACACACTTTTACAACCCTACACCACACTACACACACAAACACACACAACACACACTACACACACTCCCCCCCACACATACATACACTTACCACACACACTACACACACAAACTACACCATTTTTAACAACACATTACATAAACATTTTCTACAATTTCATTTACAATTACATACATACATACACATTACATACATACATACATAACATACATACATAACAATACATACATACATAAACATACATACAAACATACATACATTACATACACTACATACATAAAAATAAATACATAACATACATACATACTACATACAAACATTTACATAAAAATACATATTAAACATTAACATACATACATACATACCATACAGAAATTACATACATACATACATAACATAAATACATACATACATACCATACATAACATACATTACATACATACATTTAAATTACATACATACATTACAATACATACATACATACATACATAATACATACATAACATACATACATACATACATACATACAACATACATCACATACATACATACATACATACAATAACATAAACACACATTACATACATACATACAAAAAACAAACATAACATACATACATAACATACATAAATACATACATACATACATACATACATACATACATACATACATACATACTAATTTACATACATACATACATACATACATACATACATAAGCATACATACATACATACATACATACATAACATACATACATACACATACATACATACATACATTTAACATACATACATACATACATACATACATACATACATACCATACATAACATACATAAATACATAACATACATACATACATACATATCAGAACAAAACATACATACATACATACATACATGACATACATACATACATTACATACATAACATACATACATAAACATACATACATACATACATTACATACATACATTTACACTATACATACATACATACAGTACATATACATACATACAATACATACATACATACATAACATACATACATACCATACATACATACATACATACATACAAACATACATACATACATACATAACATACATACCATACATACATACCATACATACATACATACAGACATACTACATAACATTAACATACATACATACATACTACAACATACATACATACATAACAATTACATACATACATACATAAATACATACATACATACATACATACATATACATACATACAAACATACATACATACATACATACATACATACATACATACATAACATACATACATACATACATTACATACATACATAACATACCATACATTAACATACATACATACATACATAACATACATACATACATACATACAACACTACATACATACATAATACATAACACTACATACATACATACATACATACATACATACATAATTATACATACATACATACATTAACAGAAATACATACATACATACATACATACAAACATACATGAATACATACATACATACATACATACATACATACACCATTAACATACCATAACATACATATAAAATACATACATACATACATACTACATACATAATACATTACATACATACATACATACATACACAATACATACATACATACATACATACATACATAACATAATACATACATACAATACATACATACATATACATACATACATAACATACATACATACATACATTACATACATACATACATAAATACATACATGAAACATACATACAGACATACAAACATACATACAAATTCACACACAATACATACATACATACATACATACAATACATACATACATAACATACATACATACATACATACAACATACACAAACTTACATACATACATACAGAACATTACATACAAACCAGACATACACATACATACATACAGAACATACAATACATACATACATAACATACATACCATCATACATACATACATACATACATACATTACATACATACAAACATACATAACATACACAGAACATACATACATACATACATACATTACATACATACATTACATACATACATACATACATGACAACATACATACATACATACATACATACACATACATAACATACATACATACATACATAACATACATAAACATACATACATAGCATACATTACATACATACATACAATAACAATACACATACATACATACATACAAACATACATACATACATACATACATACCATACATGACATACATACATACATTACACAATACATACATACATTGACATACATAATACATACATACATACAATACATACATAAATACATACATACATACATACATACATACATACATACATAAATACATACATACATTACATACATACCATACAACATACATACATACATAACATACATACATGGACATACATACACATACATTTACATACATACATACAATACATACATACATACATACATACATACATAACATACATACATTACATACATAACATACAAAACATACATACATACATAACAGAATACATACCATAACATACATACATACATAACATACATAACAAACATTACATACATACATACAATACATACATACATACATACATACATAACATACATACATACATAACATACATACACATACATACATACATAGCATACATAACATACATACATACAATACATAACATACATACATACATACTATACATACCATACATACATACATAAATACATACATAACATACCATATGCACATACATACATACATACATACATACATAATAAAACCATACAGAAACATACATACATTACATACATCATACATAATAAACATACATACAATACATTAGATACATAACATACATACATACATACATACATACATTACATACCATACATTTACATACATACATACATACAATACATACATACATACATACATACATACATGATACATAACATACATAACATACATACATACATACATACGCATACATACATACATACATACATTACAATACATACATACATACATACATAACATATCATACATACATACATACTATCATAACATACATACATTTACATATCATACATACATACATACATACACACATACATACATACGCAGTATACATACAGTACATACACACATACATTACATAATACATACTATACATACATACACACATACATACATTACATACATACATACATACATACATACATACATACATACATACATACATTACATACATACATACAATACATTACATACACATACATAGGATCATTCACAACATTACATATCATACATACATACATACATACATACATACATACATACATACATACATAAAACACATACATACATTACATGTACATACATACATAACATACATACATACATACATTACATACATAACATACATACATACATACAACATACATACATAACATACATACATACATACATACATTACCATACATAACATACATACATACATTACATACATACATACAAGACAGAGTACAGACAGACAGGAAACAGACAGACAGACAGACAGTTACAGACAGACAGACACAACAGACAGACAGACCAGACAGACAGACAGAAACAGACAGGACAGACAGACAGACAGACAGAAAACAGGACCAGAACAGACAAGACAGGGGACAGAAAACAGACAGGACAGACCGGGGGTAAGCAGAAAAAGCTCACCCATTTCCTCTCAGAATTTACGGCATTTACAATGGAATCAAGCCGCCGAAAGGTTGCGATATTCCATAATACATACCGAGCCTAAGGGGTTAAAAAAAACTCATCGCGATACCCGCCCATTAAAAAAGGGGGGGAGGGGGGCGGCGACAAAAGAAAACAAAACTAGTAAAAAAGGCAACTAATGAATGGTTTATGGTTTAAACAACGGATCGACATCACGGCACAAGGGTAATAACCCATAAATGCTCCTTTCTACTTCTAACTCAAGCCAGAGTCTGAAGTGACTAAGCGCAGTGCACGAACTCCGTAGCACCGGCGAGAATCCTGATATACTTTGGGTATGTAACTCCAAATTTTGCCCGGGCAGCACCGTTAGACTACTCTTTTCGATTTCCAATTGCCAAGGGATTTTTTTTTTTCACGTGCGCAACAATGCGCAAGAGCGTGCGGTCTTACTACCCAGAGACCAGAGGAAATTACTAGATGTTCACTTGAAAAATCCCAGCCTTTACCGGGGCCTGAACCCGGTACCTCTGGCACTCGAGGCGGACGCCATGCCTCCAGCCCCTGATCAATGTTTCATTCGAAGTCGGAGTGGTCTGCTTGAAATGAGAGGATTCAACGGTTTCCATACAAGTTAGCACGATCTTGTTTCGCAAATTTGCACGCACATCTCCCGTTGTGGAAGAATGCCAACGTTCAGAAATGGACAAGACAATCAGAACTTCCCGCCTTAGTTTAAAGCTGGTGAACGCTAAGTAGAAGAAGAAGACAGCTTGTCTTGTATGTTTTGGATTACATGTTTACATGTTTACAATTCTCTTTTCTGCCGTGAAGATCTCGAGCCGTGAAGATTGAACGTCTGCAGAAATACCTTGAGCAGTTAAACAGGGAAAAGGAGGAGATGTGTCGTCTGCTGGAAGGTGTCAACAAGGAGACAGCGGCTCTGAGGCTGGAGGCAGCCGAACTCCGGTGTACGGTCTCTGCCGTCTGCGACTCGTCGGGTGAGTCCCTTGATTGTCTTGTGATGTTCCAGTACGGCGATATGTTGAGAGCCGCTGTAGTGTAGCCGCTATACCTTCGCCTGCGAAGGTTGTGGGTTCAACTCCTGACAGAGCCGGCCTTTAAGAAAAACAATATTAGCTCCCAGGTCTAGCCAGCCTCAAAATGAGGTGAAGTCCTTGGAATTCGGGGCCGGCCTGTGTGATGCTGAGCACATCACCCTTCAAGTGCTGATTGATCTATAGAATATAGATCTAGTACTACATGTCTTCTACGCATGAAGGCTTGGAAGAGTATCCTTGCAAGTGACTCACTTTCATTTTAATTGTTTACCCCAACGGGACATCACACTGAGCGATAAACAACCGGTGACACAAAGGGCCACTATTTGGATGAGGATCACGCGTTGAGAGGTAACAGAAACCCCGCTCAACCGTCAGGTTATATTAGGGCTCCTGACAGCAAATAGGGTGGTGCTTCAAAATAACGAAAAATAGGTCCAACATGGGAACGGAATAATGACTGACTGACTTTCTACCCCACTAGGGACATCACACAAGCGATAAACACCGGATGTCACAAAGTGCTACCATGCGGATGAGTATAGCCGTGGAGAGGTCCCAGAAACCGCGTTCAAACAATTAGCTATATTTATGGCCTGCCTATATTGCGGCCCCTGGCAAAAGCCAGGATGGGGCTTCAATTAACACAAAAATTTGGTTCTGTAAAGGACGATAGATAAGATATTGGTAGCAACATCGCAACTGTGACGGAATATTAATTAAAACGGCGACCCTAGGGTACGCACTCCATTGTTAGCGTAGGTTTGCATAATACTAATATTCTTTCATATTTAATATTAATGATGTTAGAGATCAGGGTCAGGCTGACCCTAATCCTATCTCAAACACTAAACCTAACCCTAACATAAAGCATATATTACACAACATAATTATGTAAATGTGCACAAATAGTAGTTTGTGTCCCTCATGTTCGCCATAAACAAAACAATAGATTGCGTCCCTTAGGAAGACCGTTGCTGTCATAAGATAATATACAGTATACAGTGCACAAATACACAAGATAAAATACAGTTTACAGTGCACAAATACACAAGATAACATACAGTATACAGTGCACAAATACACAAGATAACATACAGTATACAGTGCACAAATACACAAGATAACATACAGTATACAGTGCACAAATACACAAGATAAAATACAGTATACAACCCACAGTGAAACAAGACAAAATACAGTATACAGTGCACAATAACACAAGATAAAATACAGTATACAGTCCACAATGACACAAAATAAAATACAGTATGCAGTACACAATGACACACGATAAAATACAATATACAGTACACAATGACACACGATAAAATACAATATACAGTGTACAATGACACACGATAAAATACAGTATGCAGTGTACCTGAAATTATGTACAAACTATCGAACTATTGCCCTGATCAGTCATGCAAGTAAAATTCTACTAAAAATTATAATGAGAAGACTGCAAAAGAAAAATGGAAGAAGAGATTAATGTAGCTTCAGGCCTGGATTTTTTAGACAGCGGAAGAGGAAACCAAAAGATCATATATTCCAACATGGTCGCGGTTTTATAATAGAGAAGTGTAGAGAAATTTAATGTAAATCTGTTCTTATGTTTTTTTTGTGTATTTCAAAGGGCATTTGGGACTGTTGACATCAGAAAGCTTTTGGGAAATCATGAGGGAAAAAATCACATATAGTGGCAGCTCATTAAAAATGCTCTATCAAGACCAAACAACAGCATCAGAAATAGATGGAGAGGGACATCAGACTGGTTGGCATCAACAAGGAGTCCCCGTCCGGTGGGTATGTATGCTGTCACCGTATTTTTGTTTCATACTGTACGCCGCCGCACGAAAATATAATGAGAAATGTAAAGAGATGATATAAACAAGGACAGTGCACAATATGATGCCCTAAACATCGGTGGTCATGAAATACAGTTCGTTTAGTGATATTACAGTATTTTTTACTATCAACATCACAAAATGTTTTTAAAAAACTTATTTTAACCTCACTCCAAAGAAATAGTGAAAAAAAAAATCACACTATTTCTTAAAACCACAGCAAAAAAAGTAAGATAGTGCATACAAACAAAACATGCCATGGAGAGAAGGAAAATATATGTTTAATGAGGAGAAAGATTGGAAGTGGTGGAAAATTTCGAATATCTTGGGTCACTGGGCAAAACCAAATGGTGACACAATGAAAGATTAAAAAACGGCGACTATCAATTTTGCTTCTCTTTCAAAAGACTAAAACAACTGAATAAAATATATGGGGAAATTGTACAGAATAGAATTACAAAGGTCAGAATTTTTTTAGAAGAGCATGCATTTTCCCCATTGCAAACATACGCCTGGTGAGGCACCCTGGGGGACACTTACTAAAACAAGCGGAAAACAAGCGCCGCATAAATGCATTTGAAATATAAAAAATTTTTTACAGACAGGGTTCTAAGAATATGGTACAAAGTAAGAAAAGAAAACAAATGCATCTCCATACTCAAAGAGCTGAAAATTGAAGAGGGTTGGCTAGTAAAAGACAATAAAAACAAAAGAAATTGAAAATATTTTTGGTCACTTGAAAAACGTCATGGAGTGTTCTTAGAGAGGAACAATAAATGGAGGGGTAATTGCCCTGGGGAAAGAAGAGGAAGAGGAAGGCGCCAAGGAGAAGATGGGTGCAGGGGATGTCCAGATGATCTCCAAATGGGTGTATCAAACGCAGGACATCATGCTCATGATAAGGAAGGTTTTTCCGGGGGGTTTGTTTATGGCTTGCGAGGTTTCCGCGAGGGACATGCTACTGAAGTGAAATGACAGTGTACAGTGAAACACGAGATAAAAATACAGTATACAGTGCACAATGACACATGATAAAATACAGTATACAGTGCACAATAAAACACAAGATAAAATACAGTGTACAGTGCAAAATGACACAAGTGGAAAAAAAAAAATACAGTAAACAACAGTGCACACAATGAAACAAGATAAAAATACAATATACAGTGCTCAATGGACACACAATCAAACTACAGATATACAATGACACACCAAAATAAAATTACAATATACAGTGGCACAATGAAACACTAGAATTTAATACAGTAAACAGTGCACAATGACACAAGATAAAATACAGTATACAGTGCACAATGAAACACATATAATACAGTATACAGTGCACAATCAAACAAGATATAAAATACAGTATACAGTGCACAATGACACACGATAAAATACAGTAAACAGTGCACAATGACACACGAAAAAATACAGTAATCAGTGCACAATGACACACTATAAAATACAGTATACATTTTACAATGACACAAGATAAAATACGGCATGTAGTGCACAGTGAAACAAGATACAAAACAGTATACAGTGCACAATGAAACTACATAAAATACAGTGCACAATGAAACAAGATCAAATACAATATACAGTGCACAGTCAAACTAGATATAATACAGTAAACAGTAACAATGAAACAGATAAAATAAAATAGTGCACATTGAAACAATCACCATAAAAATACAGTATACAGTGTACAGTGCACAATCAAACCGGATAAAATACAATATACATTGCTCAATAACAATAAAACAAGATAAAATACAGTGTACAGTGCACAATAAAACTAGATAGAATACAATGTACAGTGCACAATCAACACACAGATGAAATACCAGTATAACAGTTGCGCATGCAAAAACCAGATAAATAAAAATACAGTATACAGTGCACCAACTCAAAGTAAGATATAAACAATGAGAGAAAATGGGATAGTGACATCTATCATCATTATCATTTAACACTAGTTACAGAGCCAACAAATCGCTGTTGGGAGGAACAGTCTTCTATCCATTACTCGATGGATACCAACGGCTATTGTCATTCCGAGTTGATGTAGAGGGTCCGTAATGTCATCAGTCCATTTTCTCGTAGGGCGACCTCTTCGGTTCACGTCAGATCTTTTGGCGTGTTGGGCCTACGTTGGTGGTTGTTGTAGCTGAAGGTCAGCTCTGTGGACCACGCTGTAAACAATTGCCGGTTGTGTGAGCTCTCGTCTACATCGCAAATACACGTTCTTCATCGACTTCTTAGCGTACGCTAGCTGTAAACTAAAGCGGACAATTCTAAACTTTCATCTTATATTCCCGAACTGGGATGCTTTACGTTCATATCCGATTTGCAGACCATATTTATTTGTGTGCAGACTGTACGTTCCTTGCATCTGAGGGAAATGCACTCCGACTTTGATAGAAAGATCCATAATTAGTTGCATTGCATGACATGCTGTTTGAGGAAGGGGGGGGGGGGGGGGTGTAATGATTTAATCTTCCCTCCAAAATTAGACACCGTAACCTTCACCGAGAAAAGTCAAGTTAAAACACCGTGGTCACCAATATTCAACAGTTACAACCATTGGGAAAGAGACGGAGGCCAGACGATTGGAGCCCACCTGCTACAGGCGATACACTAACATCAGAACCGTGGCAGATGCCTCTAATGCTCTGGCAGCAGTCAGGTAAGTCCTACCGGCCTGATGTAAGTGTTCTAGGCAACAGTCATGTAAGTCGTACCGGCCTGATATAAGTGTTTCAGGAAATAGTCAGGTAAGTCGTACCGGCCTGATGTAAGTGTTCCATGGAATAGTCAGGTAAGTCGTACCGGCCTGATGTGCGTGTTCCAGGGAATAGTCATGTAAGTCGTACCGGCCTGATATAAGTGTTTCAGGAAATAGTCAGGTAAGTCGTACCGGCCTGATGTAAGTGTTCCAGGGAATAGTTAGGTAAGTCGTACCGGTCTGATGTAAGTGTTCTAGGCAGCGGTCAGGTAGGTCATAACGGCCTGATTTACGTGTTCCTTGCCACAGTCAGGAAGGTTGTACCGGCCTGATTTACTTGTTCCATGCAACAGTCAGGTAAGTCATGACGGTCTGATTTACGTGTTCCATGCAACAGTCAGGTAAGTCATGACGGTCTGATGTACGTGTTCCATGCAACAGTCAGGTAAGTCATAACGGCCTGATGTACGTGTTCCAATCAACAGTCAGGTAAGTCATAACAGCCTAATGTACGTGTTCCATGCAACAGTCAGGTAAGTCATAACAGCCTGATGTACGTGTTCCATGCAACAGTCAGGTAAGTCATAACGGCCTGATGTACGTGTTCCATGCAACAGTCAGGTAAGTCATAACGGTCTGATTTACGTGTTCCATGCAACAGTCAGGTAAGTCATGACGGTCTGATTTACGTGTTCCATGCAACAGTCAGGTAAGTCATAACGGCCTGATGTACGTGTTCCATGCAACAGTCAGGTAAGTCATACCTGCCTGATGTACGTGTTCCATGCAACAGTCAGGTAAGTCATAACGGCCTGATGTACGTGTTCCAATCAACAGTCAGGTAAGTCATAACAGCCTAATGTACGTGTTCCATGCAACAGTCAGGTAAGTCATAACAGCCTGATGTACGTGTTCCATGCAACAGTCAGGTAAGTCATAACGGCCTGATGTACGTGTTCCATGCAACAGTCAGGTAAGTCATAACGGTCTGATTTACGTGTTCCATGCAACAGTCAGGTAAGTCATGACGGTCTGGTGTACGTGTTCCATGCAACAGTCAGGTAAGTCATGACGGTCTGATGTACTTGTTTCATGCAACAGTCAGGTAAGTCATAACGGTCTGATGTACGTGTTCCATGCAACAGTCAGGTAAGTCATGATGGTCTGATGTACGTGTTCCATGCAACAGTCAGGTAAGTCATAACGGTCTGATGTACGTGTTCCATGCAACAGTCAGGTAAGTCATAACGGTCTGATGTACGTGTTCCATGCAACAGTCAGGTAAGTCATAACGGTCTGATGTACGTGTTCCATGCAACAGTCAGGTAAGTCATAACGGTCTGATTTACGTGTTCCATGAAATTTTCAGGTAAGTCATGACGGTCTGATTTACGTGTTCCAGGCAGCAGTCAGGTAAGTCATACCGGCCGGATGTAAGTTTTTCAAAGAATACACTAGTGCAGAAGGGTTGCTCATAGGCGCTGAAACCTAGGAACCCAGGCCCCTTGAGCGCGCCCTCCCCTGTGGTGTAGGGTGGGGGGGGGGGGTGGCGGTGTGCCATGAATGAATGGGTGACAGAATGCAAAAATAAGTGGTTTTAGCGTTTTTCAAAAATGTGTGTGTATGTGTGTGTGTGGGGGGGGCGGGGGGGGGGAGACAAAATGACAAAATGAGTGTGATAAAAATGACTCTGCGTGTGTGTGTGTGGGGGGGGGGAGACCATAAAAGTTCCATACTGGCTGCCTCCTGACCTTATTACCCCACTGCCCTCCCACCCCCAGATATATAAATATCGTGGGGATGGCTGACGCACACAAACTCACATACACACTTATACCTTTTCGGAAAATCACTTACACCCACACACATACCAAGAGATGTGCATCTAATATTTGAGAATTAAATACAAATTTTGACCAGCTAGAAAAAGTATCAATGAAAGGTCAGCTAGTGTGTAGCTGGGCCCGAGTTCATTACTCGTTCCCAATTCTTTTTAAACCACTTATTCAAAGTCCAATGACAGTCTTGTTGCGTGGCATGGAGGTGTGTCAGCACACAAACTGATACATGCTGCAGGAGAAAGTAGATTGTGGAGAGGCATGATCGCCCATGCCAGTCGGCAAGGCACCTGATGATGATTCAAAGAATTAGGTAACATTGATATTCCCAAATGTAGATCAGTGATTGACAGTTGAGGTGATTGTCGTCTCCAGGTGTCGCATTAAAGCTTTAAACGAAATGGAAGTGCTAGTCTACAGAAAACAGCTGATGTTAAATCACATTTTACCCAGCTTGCATCAGGACGCCGCCCAGCACACCAAGGTAATGTGGTACATCTTGTTTGTATTCTCCCGCTGTCTTTTTTTTTCTCTAGTTCTTCTTCTTCTTCTTCTTCTTCTTCTTCTTCTTCTTCTTCTTCTTCTTCTCTCTCTCTCTCTCTCTCTCTCTCTCTCTCTCTCTCTCTCTCTCTCTCTTAATCTCCATCCATTCATCCATCCGTCTATCTATCTATCTATCTATCTATCTATCTATCTATCTATCTATCTATCTATCTATCTATCTATCTATCTATCTATCTATCTATCTATCTATCTATCTATCTATCTATCTATCTATCTATCTATCTATCTATCTATCTATCTATCTATCTATCTATCTATCTATCTATCTATCTATCTATCTATCTATCTATCTATCTATCTATCTATCTATCTATCTATCTATCTATCTATCTATCTATCTATCTATCTATCTATCTATCTATCTATCTCTCTCTCTCTCTCTCTCTCTCTCTCTCTCTCTCTCTCTCTCTCTCTCTCTCTCTCTCTCTCTGTCTGTCTGTCTGTCTGTCTGTCTGTCTGTCTGTCTGTCTGTCTGTCTGTCTGTCTGTCTGTCTGTCTGTCTGTCTGTCTGTCTGTCTGTCTGTCTGTCTGTCTGTCTGTCTGTCTGTCTGTCTGTCTGTCTGTCTGTCTGTCTGTCTGTCTGTCTGTCTGTCTGTCTGTCTGTCTGTCTGTCTGTCTGTCTGTCTGTCTGTCTGTCTGTCTGTCTGTCTGTCTGTCTGTCTGTTTGGTCTGTCTGGTCTGTCTGTCTGTCTGTCTGTCTGTCTGGTCTGTCTAACAATCCATTGCTTACCTCTCTGCCTGTGTGTGTGTGGGGGCGTGTGTGTGTGTCTGTCTATCTGCATCCTCTTTCTTTCTTTCTTTCTATCTTTCTTTCTTTCTTTCTTTCTTTCTTTCTTTCTTTCTTTCTTTCTTTCTTTCTTTCTTTCTTTCTTTCTTTCTTTCTTTCTTTCTTTCTTTCTTTCTTTCTTTCTTTCTTTCTTTCTTTCTTTCTTTCTTTCTTTCTTTCTTTCTTTCTTTCTTTCTTTCTTTCTTTTTTCTTTCTTACTTACTTTTTTTCTTTATTTCTTTGTGTTTGTGCCCATGTTCTACGTCCTGTATAGTTTCTTCTGTCCCACCAACAGCCTGCACTCCTGCCCAGCAAACACCTGAAGTCTAAGAAAAACGAGCAGACGAGCCACACTCGAGGCAGCAGGAACAATGTTGTTATAGAGGTCTTGTCTGATCCAAGTGAGTTCCCCTCTACCACTCCCTTTCACATTTTGCTCCCCCAGTCTTTCTCCAGTCTTAAACCTTGTGATTTAAAGACAATAGGCTCCATCGTCTAGCTACTGAGCCGAGTGCTTAGTGCGACACTATAAGCTGTGGATTTCGTCTGTGTGCCCAAAGCGCAATTTTGACTGCACTAAAATGGCAGGTGGCTGACTGCTTTCAGAATGGTGAGTATTTTTGCGGATCCAATGCTGCTTTCGTGATTGACCGTTTGCGCTAGCGGTGAGTTGACATTCTGGTGTCGGACTGTTAGTGTTGGCACATCTGACTGCCTTCGCCAGCTTTACTTTGCGTGCGCAAGTTTCACAGTTTTGCTGCGACTGAAAGGTTTTTCACTAGTTTTTCAAGTGGGACAGCGAACGACATTTTGAGCAATTCTTCCTGGCAGAGAAACTGAGCAGTCATGGGGTGACCCATCCGTAATGATGTTCGAATCTTGACTGACGACTACTAATTTATAGACTGGTAAATTTACTTCTGCTGGTATGGCATTGTGTGAACTATATCTATACCACACAATTCCTCACACAAGGTTAAGCGCTGTTGTTACTGGCTTCTATCATAGATATATGTTCATATTAACTCTTTGATTGGAATCATTAGTTTTACTGCTTCTGTTTCATAGTCTCTCTGTTCAACTTCTTCAGAGCTGAGAGATTATTGCTTGTCAACTAAACTCCTTGGGACATAAGATGTTTCAATAACAATTGTTTAATACTAAAGAAGTTAATAGACATGTCTGCCAAGACAGAATAGTCAGGCTTCAATTCCTGGCAGAGGAGGGTTAATTTTCTCTAACCAGTGCGGTTGTTTAGTCAGCACTTCCTGCAAACAACATTGTGAGAAAGACAGACAACGAGGAAAGGAAGTGATTATTCAACTCAAATTATGTGGCCTGGAATCTGTGAAGACTGGCCAGTTTACGCCCCAACGACAATCTTAGCTACGGGAGGATTTGACGTCTGATTTCAACTCATTGCCACATTCCCGTCTTTCCCAGCGATAGTTATACTGTGTTGAACGGAGGCCTGAGAGTCGCAGCCCATAGTGATTTCTCTACAAGGCACACAGCCTGGGCTTGTATTGTAGAGTCAATGTGTTGTTTATGTGGTATAATTTGTGTGTCGGCTTGTATGTTCATTCCAAATGTTACAACTAGGGGATAATAATCCCCTAACAGATATCATCCTCAACGACCCATGAGTTCTAGATCCAGTCCAAAGTCTTAAACAGGTAAAAAAAAAAAAAAAAATTAAATACACGGGTTGGTGCTCGTTCCTCGGCAGCTAGAAATCATAAAGCATAGCTCGTAACTTGCATATCCCTGGTGAAACGAACTCTGAACTTTTTCTTCTCACAGAGATCAGAAATGTTTGGCCACACTATGAGGTAACAGTCAGGACTTTGTCATATATGACTGAGCTACCGTATCACAGTAGCCGGTACCGTATGTACTCTGTTTACACCGAATATTTGGCGACATTGACCGAACCTGACATGCCACAATGTGCTAACAGCTTCGGACTGAAGAACGTGTTTTGGAAGGGACTAGCCTTATCCTAGGACGATAAAATACAATCTGAAAACTTAATGTCACGGCAACGCAGCATAGATCCTTAGCCATGGCTAGCAGGCTTTGTCCTAAACGCATTGGTATTACCTTTCTTTCGGATGAAACGACGCAGGCGGAAACATGAATCATGTAGTGTGAACCACACTGGTATCTGCAACACTGTTTAGGCTTTGTTTTTGGAGAGAAGAGAGCTCATCCCCGGCCTTAGATGGCATCGCTATGGGACGTAATTCCCGTGCCCCACTATAGTACAGTAAAACACTTTCGTCAGGAAAGATTGCAAGGTGCCAACAACCACACGGTGGAAGACTTGTCGTAAAGCAATTGGGTTTTGTTTGTCAGACTGGTCACCGCCATGGCATATGATTCTCAGCCAACCCGGAGCGCAATCGTCTTGAAAGTTGGACTGTAAAAAAGTGAAGGAAGTGAAGGACCCTTTTCACCTTTTTCCACCAGTAGGGCTTATAACAACAACACTCAGTCGATAATGTGGTCACTTCCACGCAGGCAGACTTTACTACCGAATAAATTGTCCCCTTTTCAGCCTGGGTCAACCTGCAAGCCAAGGTCTATTTTAAAGGGGGAAACATCCGACCGATCCCGAGAGCTGAAAATCGGAAAGGTGCCAGTCCAACTCATTTAGCCCCCTTCCCGCCCCTTATTAATTCCCTTGCGTTGACGTACATGCTATAAATATAAAACCTCCCATAAGTTTCCAGGCAAAGGCAAGTTGGTTGGTACCTTTCCAGACGATAGTATTATGCTATAAGGAGGTGTAGGAACTACAACCTATGGCGGTGGCGAATGTGACTTGCAAGGCCAGCCCGCGACAAGAAAAGTTTTCCAAAGTGGCTGCCTGGGAATTCGGGACCATGTTTGTCATTGCATGTTGTCTTTCTTCTTTCTTCTCAAACGCTAAGCTCTTCAGTCACCTTTTCTTTTGCCTCTATTTCCCTTCTGATCTTTCCTCTCCATGCAATGCGATCTGTGGCATCCTGTTTTCATGATTTTATCCCAATACCTGTTTCATTCATGTCCCGCTTTCATACGTCCAATAAGTGTTCACACATAGGAAAACACATATCGGTACATTTCCCCCAGTGCCGCAGACTGGGTATAAACACAGCTGGAGTTATGCTTGTATACTTAATTTCTTTTCCTTTTGAATGGAAACTTATGAGACACCATGTAGAGTAATCTGTTGGCATCTCCTCCGTTCCTTCTGCAGACAGCTGGTCGGAGATGCAAACATACACGGACTCGGCCGTGACCATTTCTACAGCCTTGACAACTTCCATTGACGGCACAGCGTCAGTAGGCCCAGCTCCGGAAACCGACGTTTAAATGTTGTGTTGTACATTCTACAAAAACATATAGACAACCAGACACTGTAGCTTCTGTTGGGATTTTCATTGTCTGTATGTCGGTTAGGTTGTCTGTCTGTCGCTTGGGTTGTCTGTCTGTCTGTCTGTCTGTCTGTCTGTCTGTCTGTCTGTCTGTCTGTCTGTCTGTCTGTCTGTCTGTCTGTCTGTCAGTGTCAGGGCTATTCAACAAAGTTACTCAAGGGGCCACAATTTTAAAAATGGGGATTGGCGCGCCAGAGATCCGAGCCTCAGGAATAAAAGATCATTATACAGTTAAACTGACAATGATCTGCGGGCCACTTGCTAGTACTCCGCGGCCCCCATTTGGTCCGAGTGTCGCCAGTTGGACAGCCTTGCGCTATATGTTGGTTGAAGGAGCCGCCGTGGTGTAGCGGCTAGACCATCGCTTGCAGATCAGAAGGTCGTAGGTTCGGGTCCTGACGGAGCCTGACTTTTGTTTTTCATTTAAAAAAATGACCTTGGCTCCCAGGTGGATCCAGCCTTGGATGAGTACACGTCCTGGGAGGTAAAGGCGGCCGGCGTGATGCTGACCTCAACACCCACCAAGTGCCGATTGCTTTGTAAAAAAAAAATAAGTTTATCCCTGCTCAAGGGTGCTTTTTATAAGTTGTTTGGTGGTCGACTGACTGACTGTCAAACTATCTGCTGGGCTGACCACGTGTAGGACATTCTATCCGCCTATCAATCCTCCTAGAATGTTGCGTGTCCTGAGATGTATGATGGCCTAACACTTTAACCCAGTCCTAGTTTCTGTTATCGGTCTATCGATCAGTTTGTCCCCTCCGGCTGCTGTCTAAAGGTTCGTCCTACCATACTGTGATTGAAAAAAAAAAATCTGAATCTGGACGAAAGACTAACAAGACAGAACCCAGATACCCTGTTCAACCTACAAAGAAATTAAACAAGGGCACCTGTAAGGTTACACAAGCTTGGCGTCACCTATCGTCCTACACTGGTAAAGACTGCCAGTTGTATTCTATCTTTAAATTTGTCACCACTTTCCCCCTGTCACCCCTGTCTATCTACCCCACTAACAAAACATCAACCCACGCCGGACCAAAAAATCACGTGACAGACAGTTCACACCCGTGGAAGTTGACCCCAAGTCATGATCGCCAAATTTAGCAATTTTTTTCGGCCAGATCGTGCCGATTTGTACGATGTTTAGACAAGTGCCTGACAGCCAACAATTTTGCCATTTGTATAAAACATTTAAACATTCTTGATATGGCTAACTTTAAAATCATATAGTTTATAGCACTATAATCGGTATAGCATGTATTGATAAGAGACGAGGAACCAACAGCCTCCATGAAAATATGCCATATTTATGAAACGGATGAGCTCACTAGAAGTTTGTGGGACTGGTATACAAGATGCTAGGCGGTTTGGCGGTCACGGCACTGAGAAACTTGCGAGTCCTACATGATTGCCATTGGGCAGAACAGAAGAGGATGTGAACAGACTTGACCAACTCCACGCCGCACGGACCAAACCCTGTGTGTGTGTGTACATTGAAGAGGGTTTCTGTGGGTGTATGGTACTGGGTTTGCCACCTGTTTGAATAACAGTTTTTAGCTCAAAAGAAAATTATTTTGCTGCTTTGTAACCGTTTTTCCTGCCAGTTTTTAGCAAAAGGCGTAATTTCGGCGGTTAAAATTATTTATGCATTCGACTTCCCGTGATTATTGTTTTCCCCGAGTGAGATTAAGTCACGTCCTAATCGTGCATCGGGACTTGTGTTCAAAATGATAGTCTTCTTGTGGTGGTAGTTTCACTGGATGTGTTTACTATATTGTAATGAGGGAATTGTATTCTCTGGAATTAAGCGCCCTTTACGGCCTTACAGGTATGTTGAAGTGCATTTGTTTTATTGTTTAAAATTGTCTTAACCAAGATTTTAACTTCATTTTAACCATTCCGGAAAGCTCAATCGATCCACAACATTCAGTGTCCCCGTTATGAGGGGGGGGGGGGGGGGGGGGACTTGGTGTGTTTATAATTTTCTAGTTGGTCTTGTGGATAAAAGGGCGTCCTCGTCGGGATTAAACCTTGTTTAAATGCTTAATAATAACAATAATTTATATTATGTGATGCATTACTATTATATATTTCATATATTTTTTTATATGAATCGTGTAAATAAATACTTGGGGGAGGGGAGGGGGAAGGTCTACCTATGGGGTTACTTAGCTGCGTTCAAATTTTCTTGGTAAAGGTGGCCAACACTCCTCCCCCACCACCCCTTTTTTTCAGGCGCAACACAGATATTTTAAAAGAGGCAGTTGCGTAAAGTTAACCTATCATAGACGTCAGAAAGAAACAGTCAGCATTTTGTTGATCATTTTGTGCTAGCGGGAAGAAAAAAGAAGAAAGGAATAACACAAAATCAGGGGAGATAAAGGAAAATTGTGATTAAGACAAAATGTATTAGTTCTCCGCTAAACACCAGGAAACTAAAGAAAATATAGGGGTTCTTCTGCGCAAAGATCCTAAAATAATTCACCAGAACCCAGACAATGAAAATCTGTATCGTGAGTTACATGACGACAACCTAACTACATGGGTACATACAACTAGACGAACCACGGACTACAGATCCTAAATTAAATCAAGCAAATGAATTATAATCAGATTAAAAAGCTGTTTATTTTACTTAACTGAGCACAGAATTAAGGTATACTTCACAAATAATACGTTAACAACGTGCTCGACCAGAATCTAAAGCGTTCATCAGCTAACAAGGAAATATGATAATGACACCATACGCTCAGCGAGATTACTTCAACAATGGCAAAAACCGAAACATATTTAACATGTAGCTTCAATATACCACCCGACCAACAAATCAGTTATAGCGACCTGCCATCAAACTATCTGCTAGCAAGGATGCACAATGAAAATCAGTTCTAACACCAGCTTAACAGATGAAACGTACCATGAGCCAGCCAGACAAGAGGCCTTTCCCTGCATTCGCCCATACCCACGCTGTCTAGCCCACTGTGCAGGGCCGCAACAGCTGGGTCGGTGTCCTGCCGGATTGGTCCGGGAGCCAAATAGAACGCTAAAAGACTAAAAAAAAAAAAAAGGTCTTTTATTGACTTATGGTTGGCCAGGTTTCTTTGCTTTACCGTCTAAAGCTAATAGCTGTTCCTATGGCTTCTTTTGCCTATTACAGTTTTATAAAAAGAGGAAAAATGGAACAAACATATTGTGACCACTTGAAAGAATTGTTGAAAGAGAGATAGAGGACAGCGCGAGAAGATTTTTGACCCCCTTTTGTCATGGCAGGAAGGGGTGTCAACACACGAACTGATACACACAGTTGCGGATTGTGGAAAGGCAGGATCACCCACACCGGTCGGCAAGGTATTTGATGATGATGATGAGGAGTAGGAGGGGGATGATGATGAATGGCAAATAAATATAATATACTTGAAATCAATATGAAATGTTTAAACCAGTGGATTAGCTGGTGCTTCTCAGTGTTTTAGAGGCTCCATATGCATTGTCTAGGTGCTCTGTGTGTACTTTCCTGGGGCTCCGCATTCTCTTTTGGTGGGCCCCGCATGCATGAGCTTGACGGCTGGTCCAGAAAAGTTTAACACATTTTTCACAATGTTATGTGTAGTGTTGTGTAGTGGTGATAGCAGAGACAAAACTGACTGCTATAGTAGAATTCAAAGTCTTTAAAGTACAGTTGACTTGCGTGAACAACGGCCACTATAGCATTTTTTTAATCCAGGTCAATGGAGATTCCCGTTTTTGTGCAACTCTGGAGGGCCGGTGTGTGTTTACTATGTTTTTCGAGCAGATTTATACAAAAATTAGGCTAGTTTAATTAATTCGCAACACGTTTTTCAAAATTAATTGTCTCTTTGAAGATAAATTAGTGTACTGTTAGAAAATATAGTAATAATGAAAGTAATAAAAAGTAATAATATATAGCACACTCATTTATCTACAAAACAAGAGCAGATCGCAGACGGCGGGAGAGATGGGCCCAGCCACCATGGTGGAACGAAGTAGTCAACATGGCGTGGCTAGAAAAAAGGAAAGCTGCCAAGGCATGGCAAAAGGCAAGGAAAATTGATCCGTCACTTTCTGAACGCCTGATCAGTCTGAAAGATGAGGTCAACAAGCAGGCAGTGGCTTTCAAGTTAATTGCGAAGGAAGCTAAGACAGCGAAATGGAACGAATTCTGCAAGAGCGTTTGCTCCGAGGGATCTCTTGTGACATTCTGGCGCCTTCAACGGAGCATGCACGGCGCCGCACGACCAAGTGGTATCCCTGATTTTCAGGGTACAGACCTGATATGGCATAGAACTGATGCTGATAAAGGAAAAACCCTTCTGGCGCGCTACTTGGAGCAAACTGACCAAAAAGACGAAGCTACAAGAATAGGGGTTAAGATGAAACTGTCGATGCTGTGCGAGAACACTGTGCTAGGCACTGATCTCACAATCACTGCAGATACCTTAAGAACTTGCCTCAAGAAATCGCGCAGCACTGCTCCAGGCCCTGACGGCATCCGATACAACGACATGCTGATGATGTCGAATGCTGACTTGAAACGCGTGGCAAAGGAATTCAGTATCAGCATCCAGAGTGGCCAGATACAAGAGGAATGGCTCCATAGTTATTTGTTCCCACTACCAAAGCCTAATAAAGACCACTCAAAGATCTGCGGCTACAGAATCATCTCGATTCAGAATACTGTTGGCAAACTTTTGGAAAAAATTGTCGCACAAAGATTGACCACCTACTTGGAACTACATGATAAGTTCCCACCAACACTTAGAGGGTCCAGGTTGAATAAAGAGACATGGTTCAATGCTGCAGTTTTCGCCTACGATGTGTACGAGGGATTTCAGATTAAAGAAGAGACATGTGCGGCAGTGTTGGACTTAGAAGATGCCTACAAAAAAGTACCATATAATTATTTAATGCAATTACTGC